ACACGAACCCTAACTCAGCCACCATCTTCACTTTCTCTCCCTCAGCTTCTCTCTTCTTTGCGATTCATCTCCTCTCTCTTCCTCGTTTTTCTTTCGTCTCTTCCAATTCCCACCAGCAACAAACAAAAAACCTGAGTTCCCTTTCTAAAATCTCACAAAATTGAAAACAAATACCACGGTAACACAAAAATTGATGAAAAATGAAAAGAGATATCAAAGCGGCAGGACCTTGGCAATGGCCTTCGACGAAAATAATTGCGATGATGTGGCCACAAGCGTTGTCTTCGTAAACGAGTCACGGGTGAAGGGTACGCGAACGGCTCCATCTGTCTTCCTCCACCACCAAACCGTTGTTTATAACATAGTAACACAATGGTTTGTCTTCACCATTTTCGTCTGGCTCTAAATCTTCATTAACTTCAGAGACCTCCAACACTCTATCGTATTCAGCAAGTAACACTGACACGATCCCGCAGTTGATAGCAAAGTCTTCGCCGTATGTGTCATCGACCATCTCATCTTCTGGTGAAGGGGTGTATTCAGATTTCTCATCTGGTTGGGGAGTGTACTCTGGTTCTTCATCTGATTAGAGACTGTACTTTGGTTCTCCTTCTGACTGGGGAGTGTACTCTATTTATCATTCCTCGGACAATGGAGTGTACTCTATTTTTTAGGCTGAGACTACCTATTTTCCTCCTGAGGTCTCAACAGTCATGGCGAGCGTCTAATTCTCCATATTTCTTTCTTTCTCGATCAACCTTTCCTTTAGATAGTCTCTTTTCTGCCCAGAGATCTCGACCTGTTTCAGCTACGATGTTGAAGCCACCTTGTCAGCTTTCTTGTTTCTCTGGTACCGCCTCCACTGTGTTCTTGTCAAGGGTTTTTTCCCTTTGTAATTTGGAGAAACCACGTAGCCTCTGGGTTCAGTTTTTTGTTTGGATTTCTGGCCTCTGCCCCCAAGTCGAGCACTCTCCATTTTTGTCTCTTGCCCTCCTTCTGATTCACTGGTTCCATCCATTTTTCTTGTGGAGTATTTGAAGGGGGAATAAAGGTCTTGGGCGAGGGTGTTGGAATTGTCTCCTAAACTCTTCATTTCGCTAAGGCGCTCCCCTTTTGTCAAACACAAATCTTGGGATGGAGGTATTTTGCCCCTCCAGCGTCTTCTTTTTGTCAGTTTCATACTTCTCAGCGGCTTTTTCGTCAAAGACGACATTGCATCTTAGATATAACACAACCTTCGACCCTTTCACTCTGCATTTCTCTTAGAAGTCAACCAATCCTTCTCCAGCTGTGGGGTAAACTGCCTTCAATGTATCTTCAGTTCTTGCGTTGAAACTCTCAATAGTTTCAACCATCAAGCGTTCAGAAGGTTCGGCGGTCAGGGCTTCGTCGAAACCCTCAGTAGTCTCGACCATCATACATTCAAAAGGTTCAACATAAAAAGCTTCCTCCACCCTCAAATGATCCATATCTACCTGCATCTTTGGCTTTTCGCCGAATTGAAGCTTACCCTCTTTCAAAGTCTTTTGTACCAAATCCTTGAAAAGAACACACTGAGAGGTTTTATGACCAAGAAAATTATGAAACTTATAAAATCCCTTTTTTCCTTTTGCTCTAATGAGGTATTTTTCAGGCCTTGAGGCACAATAATTTTCCCGTCTTTGACCAACAAATCAAATATTTTGTCGCATTTAATTATATCAAAAGTATACTTCTTTGCAACAAATTTATCAGTTTTTTCGGTGTCGACAGGATTTTTCCCGTTGATGGTTTCAATAATTTCCAAGTGTATGGAGGTCCTGGCTTGAGCTCAGCCACGTTGACTCCGCTCTTTTTTTGACGAGCTCTTCATCATCAAAAGAGTATGTATCAACCGCGACGTAAGATATTTTCTCTTTCTTATGGAATTTACCAGTTCTAGCCTTTTCAGCTTTAAACCGTTCGAGTTGTCGAACTCTATCAGCCAACTAGGCCATGTCTCTAAGATACTGAGTGTCTAACATTTTCCTAATGGAATAATCTAAACAACCTGCAGCTATTTCGACTAGCTCATGTTCATCCGTTTAGGGACTTAAGTAAAGCATCTTGGTCTCAGCGGCCTTTCGTTTGACACTGGCCAACTCTTTCAAACTTATCTTCGACTATCCCATGTATAATTGTTCGTGGAGCAGTCTCTCCAACTGTGCCCATGTATGAAGGGACTGTGGAGGCAGCGTCGTGAACCAAGTAAATGCATTTTACATTATGGAACTTAGGAAGTATTTCATTTTCAAATCCTCATTATTCGATATGTCACCAGCTTTAGTTTGATATCTGGTACGTGTTCGACGGTAGACTCTTCAGTATCCCCAGCGAACTTGGTAAACTTTGGAACCTTCCATCGCCTTGGCAATTCTGTTTGCAACACAAAATTTGGTAATAGGGATGAATATATTGACCTTTGCAGGCCAGGGTTCAGACCGTTTCACACCATGATTTGCTCGACAATGCCTTTTAGATTTTGTTCTCCAGCCATTGCATCTTGTCGAACCTGCCTAACCACTTGGTCTGGATATTGGTTTCTATTAACTAGCACGACGGGAGGTCGTAGGGCCATCCTAGGTATTGGCTCGATCACATGGGGCTCTTGGTGAATTGTCTCGTCGAACCTCTCTTCGTGTTGGACCGGCACCTCTGGTTGAGGTGGGGTCCTCTATCAAACTTGTGCCCTATGAGCACCTAAGAAGTCACCTATTCTGGTCATCTGAGTTGCCAATTAATGGTAACTCTGAGTCGAATTTTGAATATGGTTCCCATTTGATGAGTCAGTATGTGGACCATTTTGTGGTTACTTTCGTCCATCTGTTGTCTCATGACAGCGGCATAACTGGACGTAAAAGTCGAGATTTTCTGAGACGGAAACCCCAGTCCTGTGGTTCGACCAAATTGGTTCCCCAAAGGTCCCAATCCATGGTAAGGTGAAAACCATGAGAGCGAGCTTTCGCCAAAGGTCGAACCGCTCCCATGTATACTTGCCATTAACTTAGTTGGCATTCCAAAGTTTTGATCCCTACCATACATGGGTAGAGTAAAATTTGGCATAAATGGCCCTGAAGTTCCAGCCACCATCGGTTTTACTGCCTCGGGTCGATGTGGTGATTGTGTCGGTCCATTATGAGCAGTCGAAACTGCAACCATAGTGTTAGAATCCACGTTGGTGGCTTCTGACACAACTATATTTCCTTTTAAGGATAGTTTCTCGTTTGGACTGGTATTTCGTGGTTCTACCATCTCACCAGTACGTAGCAAGATAAATCTAACACAACGTGTTCCACTGGGCATGCGAATTTGTTTGCACGGGATTTCCGCGAACAACCTCTAGCCTCTTAGTAAATTTCACGTGCAGGATCGGCTACAAGAATCGTAGACTATGTCTTAAATATAGGTTGGACGTTTGAGTACTTAGGTTTGGAATGATAGATGAAACAGTATGTTTACAAGATTAAACTAAACCAATGAAAGAAAAGTACAGCGAAATTATAAAAGGGAAACAAACAAAAGAAAGACAAGACTTGTAAGATAAATTGCTTAAGTGTAAAGATTGACACATGCATACATTTGCATAGTTTTACTCGTTTCTCTCACGCTGGTACTTTGAGTGTATGCTCTTTAATGTTACAAAATGCGGCCTCTAAAAATTGAAATTGAAATCTCCTTAAATAGACCTAAAAAATAACGAATACTTTGTTGTCAGTCATCCCTAGCCTGCCACATGTCTACCCATGTTTGCTCACTATCTGCATTACTTCCCACGTTCTCGTCCATTGCAACCTTGCTTGTTCGCCAGGAACCTCCGACTTGCCTTTGACTTCGACTAGGATGATCATCTATCGAGTCATCTTCAATATTCTTCTGACGGGTGTTCTGTCGAGACTTCTTCGACCTTATTCTGCAGGATGTCCCGTCGAACCTGTTTTCCCTTCTTTAGTCGAAATTTGCCAACTAACAACGACTTCTATCAAAACATAAAACTACCCTTACCGAGACTAAAATTTGATCCAAAATACCATAATATATAAATTTCAATATCACATTTCCAAAAATAATATTATTTCTGTGCACAAAGCATACACCCCTTAAATAATGATTTAGTTCTTTTTTTTACTAACCAATCCAAGAGTTTACCACTCCTTTTCATCCATCATCATGGAATCATGTAAACAAAGTGATCATAATTAAAAATTCCCAAACAAAACCGTGAGAGTGAAGTTTCGATTTATACTCCATTACTACTATATTATTTACATTTACGAAATAAACCAAATAAATTAATAAAATAGTCCAAAAGTGGCAAGTTGTAATGTAAGTTTACCGGAAAAACAAAAAGCAGGAGCTATAACACCAAACATGTTTCCCTTTCTTACGCTACCGGTACAAATACGCACACGTGAAATTTGCACGCGCAACAACAGTAAACAAGACTTTATACTCAATAGTGCAAGCACAACTACCACAAAACAAACCCACAAAACATGACCATGCAAACAAATCTACCCCAAATCAGCACACCACCGACCATCTGACTTAGTCCCATTCCACCTCCACGCCGTTCAAACTTTCAACCCTCTTAAGTCTTACTACAACAACAACTACTACTACTTCCCCCTTAATTAATCAATTAATTAATCATACTCGCTTTCCCTTCATTTCAAACCTAAACCTCCATGCTGCTCCAGCCCCTGCCGAGTTTTTTTTTCTCTCTTTCTGACTCTTTCAACGTTCAACGTTCAACCACACGCCATAACAAAAACGAAAACAAAAACAATAAATAACACTTCAACCCTTTTGAAATATTCTCAATAAACTATTCCTCTCTTAGTCTTACTTTGCTCCCTTTGACCCCGTGTCTCAAACAACTATCTATATTCTCCTATATATAAACTCATTTTCCTTCATCATACTCACAACAAATCCTCAAACAACACAACAACATAGTCAAAAACAAAAACATAAACATAAACATGGTTTTATCATGGACAAAAGGTAGTAGAGTTTTCCGTCGTGCAAGAAAAGGCAAAGAGTCATTATCAAACTCATGCAACGATTTACAAGTGGAGATAGCGATTCCGACTCATTTTCGTTGCCCGGTAACACTAGATTTAATGAAAGACCCCGTTACACTTTCCACCGGCATAACCTACGACAGGGACAGCATCGAGAAGTGGATTGAATCTGGTAACAAAACGTGTCCGGTTACGAAAACCGAGTTAACATCCTTCGACATCATTCCAAATCACTCACTTCGTAGAATGATTCAAGATTGGTGCGTTCAACACCGTTCGTATGGAGTTGAAAGAATCCCAACTCCACGTATTCCGGTAAGCTCGTACGAGGTTAAAGACACGTGTACGAGGATCCTGTCGGCGGCGCAAATGGGAGACGAGAACAAGGCTATTGAATTGGTGAAGAAGATAAAGGGTTGGGGAAAAGAGAGTGAGAGGAACAAGAAATGTATAGTTTCAAATGGTGCAGCTCTTGTTCTTTCGAATGTTTTTGATTCTTTCTCACGTGGTTCAATGGAGAAGAATTTTGTTGTTTTGGAAGAGATTCTGGAGGTGCTGTCGTGGATGCGTCCTATCCCGGAAGAGGGTAGATTTCTCTATTTGGGATCTTCAAATTCTTTGAGTTGTTTGGTTTGGTTCTTAAACGATAAACAACAAGTTTCAACTAGACAAAATGCTTCTTTGTTGCTTAAGGAAATTCATGTTGAGTCATTGGTGAAAGTTGAAGGAATAGTTGAATCTTTGGTGAACATGGTTAAGGTTAATGTTGGTGATGTTTCTACAAAAGCATGTTTGTCAACAATTTTTCACTTGGTTTACTCATCCAAGAGTAAAAAAGTGATTATAGAGAGGTTTGTTGAATTGGGTTTAGTTTCAATTTTATTGGAGATTCTAGTTGATGCTGAAAAAGGGACGTGTGAGAAAGCTTTAGGCGTGTTGAATTGTCTCTGTGATAGTGAAAATGGGGTGCAAATAGCAAAGTCAAATGCTTTGACTTTGCCTCTTGTTATTAAGAAGCTTTTGAGGGTTTCTGAACTGAGTTCAAGTTTTGTTGTTTCTATTGTTTACAAGATTTGTGATAAGGCTGAGGAAGGTGTTTTGATTGAGGCAATTCAAGTTGGGATGTTTCAGAAGTTACTTGTTTTGTTGCAAGTGGGTTGTGTTGATAGTACAAAGGAGAAAGCTACTGAATTGTTGAAGTTATTGAATGGTTATAAGAGCAAAGCTGAGTGTGTTGATTCATCATTGGATCTCATGCATCTAAAGAAGCCATTCTAATTTGATTATTCGTCCATGAAGATTAGATTTGAATTGATTTCCATTTTTTTTCTTTTGTATATAGGTATTGTTGTCTTAAACAGAATATATACTTTTGTACAAAGTTACACAGTCACATATACAAGGACACAGATTGTATCTCTAACATTCAATTCAACTTATGAAATTCAATTTTTTATGGAAGTTTTGATTTGAGACATGCATATTGAGATGTTAGATGTTTTGATTTTAAACATTTTTATGCTTACCCTTTCCTATAAACAAAAAAATCTGATTTGGTCTGTGTTTATACACATCTCATTCATAGGTTCATACATTAACCTCTGCAGCATATTACTTATACTGAAAGTGCAATCATGTATTTCCTTTTACATTATAAGACCTTCATATAATAATTCCTTACATGTATCATCGACCCAATTCTAACATGGCACAACTCCAACGTATCATAATTGTTGCATACACACTTGGCTCTCTATGTATCAGTTACTTACATACCAAACAACTAAATATACTCTCTATGCATCAGTTACTTACATACCAAACAACTAAATATGTAACTAACTTGAAAACTAACTAAAACATAATTAACTAACTAACTTATTTGTTTGGTAGGAGCCTCGACAAGTTAATCTTTGATAGATGTTAATCCAATTCAACTTGGATATAAGGAATGAGAAGAGTTTGGACAACAATGACTTAGTGATGAAGCCTCATTACTCCAACTTGGAATTTCTCTCAAACAAGAAGGCAATATATTTCTAGGTGCTTAATCCTTTCATGGAAGACATGATTAACATATGTAAAACATTTTGATTGTCACAATACAAAATTAGAGGTTTTGAGTAGTTAACTTGCAGATCACACAGCGTGTATATGATCCATTAAAGTCATATGCTACAGCAGTTAAAGCTATGTAGTCAGATTCAACGGATGACTTATGTAACACCCTAATCTCCGACACGAGATTTAATAAAGTAATCAAATAAAACTCCATGATTAGAATGTCTCACATTCTTCACCATAGCATAAAAACATCAACACAACATAGTTATTAAAACTCAGCAGCGAAAAATCATTAAGTTTGACATGTAAGCCTCAACATCAAACGAATAGCTAAACTCCAACATAGCAAGACATAAAACAAATAAAAAATGAACAACTCATCATCGATGCTACATATCAAAGCGACTCCTCTAAAACTTAATAACAAACAGCTAAAGAGACATCGACACCGTCCTCTAACTAAAGCGGCTAGTCTTGTACCTGATTGTTTGTACTCTAGAAAAGCACAGACGCCACAACAACAAAAAAAGGTGAGAATACGCTCAAATAATATAGCGGTGTAATACATAAAAATGGTAGATCACGAACATCTACTTCATCAAATCACAACAACGTCGCATTTCATGAATAACCCACGCAACAACAATCATTTATCCAATATTAATTACTCATACATCATCAAATTAAACATAATTCACATATATTATTGATGACAACCCGTCATTGCATTAAAATAGGCAAAGAATCAACGAAAAACAAGCGAAAGAGAACCCAAAAGGAAGAAGAAAGACTCAAGAATGAGTGAAAAATAGCTAAGTATGAAAGAATTAAATTTAGTGAAAATTCTGGTGAAAAGGGTGTTTTTTGGTGCAATTACTTGAATAATCACGCGCACCATCACACAACATCGCGCGCGCGATAGGGACCTATCTGTTACGTCCTGACCCGTTCTGAGCTCTTTTTAAGGGGGAATTTCAGCATTTGGACAAGTGGTTACGAAAATTGGAGAGCAAAGCACAATTTTGAGAGTATCAAAGGTGATTTTTAGGACATTTGAAGCCATTGGAGGCTATTACTTCAAGGTAATTCATATGTTATTTTCATTTATCAATTGGGGTATTGTTATCTGAATTATGAGTAGTTAAGCTCCTCTAGATTAGGTTGTGTTATTATGAACCTTATTTAATCTTGTTGGCTTATATGTTGGTTTGACTTTGTATGAATTCTTTGAATTATAATCTTATTCAGTTGCTTATTGTTCTTAATACATTTTATTTAAGATACTCTGTTAATCTGATATTTGACACATAGGAATTACTAACCCTTAACCTATATGTTGGACCTAGGGCAACTGTTCTACTTACGCTGGTTGGATAGGGATAGGAGACCCCGAGTAGTGGCATAGGAAATTAAATTTTTGTACATCTTCTAATCTTGTTAACGTTGGTGGACTAGGTATAAAAAGCTCCAAGTAGTGATTAGGGAGTTATTTCGTGAAGGATCAGTTATAACGGCTTTGTTAATTTTCTGTGAGATTATAAGGATAAGATCATTCGTACAAGACATCATACACCGACAAGAGATAATAAAGGGATTCGATACACAACGTGGTTGTCTTAATATTTCTATTAAAACTCTTATTTTATTTTTTGATCTGAAACTTGAAATCCCTTATTTACTGTTTTCTTTTACATTGCACAATTATTGTCTTGTTTGAACACAATCCTTATGGATTCGATCTTTTATTACTATGATACTATTGGTACACTCGCCAAGAAGTCATCAAGTGTTTGGCGCCGTTGCCGGGGACTGTTAATTGCAACAGGGAAACGCTTTGTACAATGCTTTATTTTAACTTTAATTTTTTTATTGTTTTCTATTTATTTTCTTTTTTATCAAGTGCTACTAAGGTATTTTGTGTTTGTGTATGCGTAGTTCATGATCGATATTACTACCACTAGACACAAAAATTGAAAGAATCGCACGTGCTCTCTAAAAAACAGCTAGAGAAGCAATTTTGGATGAAGGAGACCAATCAGAAGACCCACCACTACTTTCTTCGGACTCTAAAGTGCTAAGATAAGTCAAATATATTATTAGCTATATTAAGTAGGAAAATATTGTGTGCTGTAAATAATTTATTTGTAATTATTGTGTGCATATGTCATTTCCTTAATAGAAGAGAAATTATACGGACTATTTTGTATATATATTGTATCATGATCAATGAATAATATATCGGAATTATTACTTTGAAAACTTCTATATGGTATCAAGAGCAGACACCGTTTCTCTTTCAATATAGAAAACGGTAGTTTTTTATTTCGTAGTAATTTTTGATGGCTTCTGATAAAAACAAATCGGAGAATTTCGGAACTTCCGTTGTTGTTCAATTCAACGATGCACTCATCCCAGAACGGATTGACGACACTAACTACGTTGAATGGTCGTTGAATGCACATAACAAAATCAGAGGAAGAAAACGATGGGGTTACGTTACCGGAACAAAGACTGCACCAGCAAAAGATAAATCCAATGAATATGAAGCATGGGAAGATGAAAATTGCTTGGTCAAGTCTTGGCTTCTGGACTCCATGACCAAAGAAATCAGATCCCTTTTCATTCGCTTAGCTATGGCGAGGGAAATTTGGGAAACTGCGAAACAAGCGTACTCAGTTGACCAAGATGCGTCAAGAGCTTATCAATTACATCGTGAGGTAATCTCTACTCAACAAAATGGTGGATCTGTTATTACATACTTTGGAAAATTGCAGAGACTATGGCAGGAGTACGATAGTATTAATAATTGTACCATGGAATGCACTAAAGATGTTGAGAAATTCAATAAGATGATTAATTCTCAACGAGTTTATGTTTTTTTGGCTGGTTTGGATTCACATTTGGATGGAGTTCGTGGGCGTGTTCTGGCTACCACTCCGCTTCCTAATGCTCAATCTGTTTATGCAATTGTATGTGCAGAGGTAAATCGCCAAGAAGCTATGCTAAATGGTGAGTCTTTGAATGGGTCTGCCTTGGCTGTTAAGAAGTATCCAAAGAAAGAAGTCTGCAACTGTAATCACTCTAATAGAGATAATCATGTCATGGAGACATGTTTTAAACTCCATGGCTACCCGGAGTGGCATCCAAAGGGAAAAACTACTTCGAATAATAAGACAGAAAACAACAAGGCTCATCTTTCTACTGCTGCCGGTTTTGTAACCAAGTCAGGTATGTCTAACTCTGCTCATAATCCTTCTGTTATTATTAGAAATAGCGATTGGATAATCGATATAGGTGCTATTGATCATATGACTTGTGATCAACATATGTTTACTAATTTCTCTCCTAACTGTCATAAAATTGTTATTATTACTGCCAATGGAGTAAAATCTCCCATTGAATGTGTTGGTACAGTGACCCTATCACCCTCCCTATAAATATCTAATGTCTTATTTGTCCCTACCTTGAATTGCAATCTTATCTCTGTCAGTAAATTAACAAAAGCACATTCATGTGTTGCTGTGTTTTATCCAACCCACTGTATTTTTCAGGATATACATAGCAAGGAGAAGATTAGCAGTGGTAGATATAGTGAAGGGTTATATTATCTTGAAAAAGTTTCACAAATCCATAAAGGAGCATTGGTTCATATTGCAAGTGACCACATACAAGATAAAAATAAAAATAAAATATTTGGCTGTGGCATAGACGATTGGGGCATCCCTCTTTTAGTTATCTAAAAAAATTATTTCCATCGTTATTTCATAAATGCAATATTTCAGATTTTCTTTGTGAAACTTGTGTAATGGAAAAAAAAGTCATCGTGCTATTTTTCCCTTAAGTAATAAGAAAACAGATTTTCCTTTCTCTTTAGTACACACTGATGTTTGGGGTCCTGCTCCACAATCTACACATAATGGGAAAAAAATGATTTATTAGTTTTGTTGATGATTGTACACGGGTAACCTGGGTATATTTGCTTCAACATAAAAGTGATGTGTATGATGTGTTTCGCTCCTTTCATCAAATGATAGTTACACAATTTAACACATGTATTAAGGTAATTAGATCCGACAATGGAAGGGAATATTTTAAGAAAGAATTAAAAAAAATTTGAACTCTAAAGGCATTTTGCATCAAACAACATGTCCTTATTCCCCCCAACAAAATGGAGTGGTCGAGAGGGAAAATGGGCACATATTAGAGGTGACAAG